TGCCCGCCCCGGCGGCCCCCGCCGAGCCCTCCTTGGGTCTCCCCGCCGGCCTCCATCTGCACAGTCTGCCCCACCTCCGCGCCCTGGCCCTGCCAGCAGCTGTCTTGCCCCTCCGGTGCAGCCGGAGAAGCGCCGCAGAGCCCTTTCCTCGAGCTTCGTGCCTGGACAGCCGGGCCTCTAAACCCGCACTGGCATCGCTCAAGCATTGCGTGAGGGTCCTGCCAGCACTTTGCAGCCGTGCCGGGAGCGCTGCTGGCCTGTGGCCCTGTGGCACTCTAGCCAGGGCATGTCCCCCAGTAGCGTGTCAAGCGAGGGGAACTTGCTGTCGGCTGGACATAGTGTCTGGGGGTGTGCCTGCTTGTGGCCAGCTTTCCTCCTACTACGCCTTTCACAAAACAAGACTGAGCGAATCGATGTTGAGATGTTCTGTTCCTGATGAGATGTCACAGCCTCTCCGTTCAACATCAGAATACCCCGTAAGGTGTCCCAGCTGTTCCTGGGCTTGCTGCAGCCTGAAGATGATCCATTTTGCAGCCTGCTGAGCGCATGTTGTTACTTGTGCTTCTCTGTTGGTTTCTCCCTCTCTACCAGATCAGGATTAAGCTTTACATCCTTGCTGGCTTTGCTGTGCCTGCTACCTACCGCTTGTTCACTTTGGAGGCGGCAAATCTCACCGCTGGCTGATGACGCTGGCCGCAGCTCTGTTGGAGCACTACCCTGCCTGCCTCCCCTCCTCCGTGGGAGATTCCCCGCCTGTCGCGGAACAACTGCATTATCCTCCTCCAAATCCCTCTTCTGCTGTGACGTCTGCAGAACACTTGACTGAGATTAGTCTGTCATGTGGAGGCTCTTACCCCCCTGCCCCCTGCCGCTGACCTGTGCTTCCCGTTCTGCGGCTGCTTTTGGCTTGAGTCTCTTCCCTGCTTGTGCAGCCAGCGGCAGCATGGGCATCAGGCCGGGGCCAGCGCTCCTGGGCTCTGGCATTGCGGTGAAACCGGAGTTCTGGGAGGAACGTCGGACATGAGTAGTTCCTTGCTCTGCCTGCTCAGGCGCTAACTCTTCCATTACAGCTTTCTTGCTTGCACACTGCCCTCTCCGATAGTGTCTCTGACACCTTCCACATTTCCCTGAAAAGGATTTTTCACTGAATCCTACTTATTTTGAGAGGTATCAATGATGCTAAAGATTCTATAACTTCTCGGCGCAGCATCCAGCTGCAGAGCTGGTGAGGTCGCCAGCTCAGCGTGAGAGGATTGGAGTTCTCCCGGGTTCATCACAAAGTCCTGCCTGGACTGCTCTTCAGTGCCTATTTTTTTTATTATTATTTAAAGCAATGACTAGTACTTTTGTACTAGACAGCTGTGTAGTGCCCCAAGCATGATCCCAGTATTGTCCCTCAGGCCATTGTACGTTTGGCCCCGGTGGTGTGTTTCCTTCATGCTGCCCTGCTTGAATTTCCTGCTTCCTCCTCACTTGGCAGTGAGTGCCCTTGGATCAACACCAGTTTGCTGCGACAGCAAGTTGCAGACCGTTGTTCAAACAAGAGAACAGCAAGGAGCGGTATTGCCTTGCCACAGCATTTGGCATCAATGAAGCACAACTGAAGTAGCCTCCAGCTCTGCTATCAGGTCTTCAGGAGGATGATTCCACTTTGGCAGGGACTTAGAATCAATTTTTGAGCAGAATCAGTTAGGAAGCTGGAAAATTGAACGTGACGCTGGGATAGATTTGAGGTGCTCAGGCTGCTTCGTGTTGAGATGGCTGGATCGCGCACAGGGAGAGGGTTCAATGAAGGGCTGCTTTGCCAAGGGAAAATGAGATCTAGTTACCCGAATCTGGGATGTGTCAGATTCAAACTGGAAATGAACTGCAGATTTCACTGAGAAATTGGAACCCTTTCATTGGAACTCTTCATCTTGGGATGGGTTGGTTGGGATTGCCTGAAATCTTTGTTTAGGTTTGAGGATATTTCTGCGAGAGATATTTTAGTTTTACTTCAGAGATAAATCAGTGATGGGATTTTCTTGATGATGCTTCTAACTTGGGTTATGCCCAGAATCTAACCCAATGTTCGAGTAGCCATGCCTGGGCTTAATGGTTTCAGATCCCCGCTTAAAAATGCAAGATGATTTCAGTTGCTGTAAGCTAACTGTCTTCTCTCTCCTTTTGAGGTGTCAAGGGTTGTTTTTCCAGTAATTTGGACCTTTTTGAAGTGCCCGCTTGCCTAATGCCATGAATATTGCAGTGAACAATGTGGAAGAAAAAGCTGTCCATTCCTGGTCAAGAATTTCCTCTGCAGGACAGAAAGTGCTGGAGGAAGCCCTCCGAGTCTTCAACCCGATGTCCAAGGACCTTTCGGACACAGAGACCCAGCTGGTGGCCTTCATTCAGGGCCTGAAGGAGGAGGGCTACCAGCCCACAATTCTGAGGAGTAAGGATGTGTATGGGTACAGCTCGTGCACGGCCGACACGCCTAGTCAGACAAAAGAGAGCACAACCACACAACCCAACACCGCTGAGTCTGCTAAGAGTCCGGCTAGAAACACTGCAGCCGTGGCAAAGGTGTCTGCTTCGCCGACCAGTGTTTCGGTGAACTCCTCGAAAGTCTCCGCTCAGCCTGTCCCTAAAGGGGATTCCACAAATCTCCTCTTGAGCTCCTTGAAGCAGACAAGATCCGGCACGTCCAAGGCCACGGCAGTGGGCTTCCCTGCGAGCATGTATCCTGATGTATATCCAGCCATGAGACTGTCAGTGGTTCTGGAAGCTCTGGTGCCGCTGAAAACTACCGCATCCCGTTTGGAGTCTAAGTACACACGAGGGCGTCTTGGGATCTCACCCTCGGACCTTAAACTCCTCAAGGCTTCGAGTCCGTCGAGGCAGTTTTCTTCAGGCAAGAGCACTAAAATAACAGAAGGTAAGGGGTACAAGTGTTTGATAAAGAAAGCACCGGATACTGCCACCCTTGCTTTAAATCTTCTAAAGGGACCAAAGGGTGGAGTGCTGCAGGAGAGCAATGCTTGCAAAGCCTCGGGAGTCCTCAATGGGAGAGTCACAGGCAGCTCTTCCCAGGGCTGCACCACGGCACCGCAGTCCAAGACCTTGAAAATCAAAGATAAGGAACCTCTGGTGGGAAAAACAGAGTGGAAGGACAGCAGCACTTACCGGGAGAGTGTTGGGCAGAAGAGGAGAAGAGCTACGGAGGCAAGAGAAGCACCGCAGAGGAAGAAAGCGAATACCATTCCAGTCCAAAATAGATCTCGACGGGCTCAGAGCACTTTGAACCTGCTGAAATTCCGGGCCATCAAGGTGGGCAACTCGTCTTCTGATGACGAAGTAAGGAGGAGAGCACAGAAGATTCTTAGGGTCAACCTGTCTCCTGTGATCCGAATTCAGCCCTTGTCCCACTCTCACAGCGTCCCCTGAGTTTCTTCACTTTGTCACTTTTTTTTTTGTAAGTAAGTAAATATGAGCCTGGCACCAGACCGTGGAGAAGTTTAAGAGCGACTCTGGATCTCTGGTGCCTGGTGACGATACGTCGACTAACCTGCAGACAGAGCAGCCCGCTCTCGTGCTGTTTCTGCTTGTCTACCACTGCTATGCAGAACTGACTGCAGAAATACAAAAACTTGTTCGGGAACATGGGACAGTGACTCTCGCCTGCGGCGAGCCAAGCAGGTCGGAGGGCTCGCTTCCCACAGGCGCTCTTCTGAACATGGCAGGCTGTGCTCTCGTGCAGGGGGAGAACACGGGACTTTCTCATGACATTGATGCACTGTGATATTGCTCTTTTTCAAGCTGTACATTTACTGGTTTTATTTTGATCAAATTTTATAACTTTATTATCTATATATCTATATATACATATATGTGCATATGGCCCAGGAACTGTGGGAAGATGCACTTCTTCCATCCCTCTGGGATTGGGTTCGATAGCTTTTGTTCCCCCCTCCCCTTCAGCCAGTCTTTTGTTGAAAGGTGCCAGGATTTCTTTGTGACTCAGTGTTGTGACAGTCTGTTCTGGGCTCTCTTGAGCAGCTCAGAGGCAGGCAGAGTTATAGCCACTTGTTCGTCTCCAGAAATGCCAAGCAATTTGGAGAATTACCAGCTGATAGTTGACTATAGTTTTAATCATATTTTTGGTATTACCTCTGCATAAGAGTTACGGGGCTGTTGCCTGTGAGTCTGCCTGATGTCTCTAGGTGCCTCCTCTGTTCGTTGGTAGCAGAAGCTCTGAACTCATGGTAGGGTTTGCCTCCAAAGAGTGATTCCTTCTCAGCACCCAGTATCACTCTGCTCTCCCATGCCCCAGGTGCAAACGTAGAACGTGAACTGTGACTGTTAGAGCTGAAGGGCTGGAGTTGTTAATAAGAACTGCATAAAGTGTCCTGCCCACTATGTAACTGCTTTGCTGTTGCTGGATGTTTCAGGAGCAGGTTCTAAGTGCTGGTGGAGAAGACACAGGCTGTGTTTGAATGTGTTAGATACATCTTGCCAGTCCCAGAGCTCAGTGGGGTATTTGAGCCTGAATTAAAGCAGAAAAGCAGAAGGGATGACAGGATATATGCCAGCAACTTAAACACAGAGCGTTTCTTTCTGTCAGTTTGTGGGGGTGAAGCAGTAGGAGGGGAGATCAGCACCGTGTTGCGATGGGTGACAGCTTTGCTGTGCCGGCTGGGATGTTGTGAGGAGGTGTGTGGCAGGTGGGAAAGCTCCCGGAGCACAGGCTCTGCCCGTCCCCAGGAGGCACTACGGAACCACCGCAGCCGGCTGCATTAGCCTTCCTGAGCCAGGGACACACTGTTGGATGGGAATGCAGACTGTGTGCTGGCGGAGGTCGGGTCTGCTCTCTGCAGGGAGGGATCTGCAAGCTCCAGGAGAAACACCACGTTGGAGCGGTCGGTGCTGCGGCTGTCACCTTGGAGGGGTGGCCTCCGATGATCTCTGTTGGGATACTGCAAAAGCAGAGCCTGGCAGCTTGGGGACAGGGAGCAGCGTCTGGCCAGGCACGGGGCCGGCGCTACGCTGCCGTACATTCACAGCTCTGCAGCAGTGGGCTGATAATCCACTCATTCTCTTACTAGCTCAAAATATCAGTTTCTGACCTAGTAATCTCTGTGGACATTGGCTGAAGGGATGAGCTCCCCAGGGAAGCCCCATCTCCTTACGTTTCAGCCCCTCCCTAGCACTTGGCTGGATTTCAGCGCTTTGTAAAAGGGGTCAGCATCTGATCCCCAGCTCACAGAGGAAAACCGTGGCATGGAGAGCAGAGAGGAGGTTCATGACGGATTGAGAGGACAGGGAAGCTGGGCATCCTGAGGCACAGCCAGGGTTCTCCTTCCTCACCCAGGTAGAGCAGAGTGGAGGTTCTCCCTCGCAGGCTCTGAATCACATGCTCTGGTTCTGTGTGGTTTTACTGTGTGTATCTGAGCTGCTGTCAGAGATCATAACTTGCAGTGTTTGAGACTGACCTGTGAATGCCGCTGGTTGGCTGCAGAGGAGGAGGAGGAAATATTTTCTTCTGCTTCTGTGTTTTAAAATGCCCTGGCAGAGAGTTCCCTGTCCTGACAAGATGCTGGATGAAGAGGGACCCTCCATCACTGTTAATCAGCCAAAAATTGCTTTGTACCTTTTGTTCCCATCCTTCAGACCTTTCTCATTCCCACGCTCTGAAATGCCAGGTCTGGAAGTCTTGCACTGGAGTTTCTCTTTTTGGCTGTTTCCCGAGGAGGACTCTCAACTCCTGCCTGTGGTATCGCTGCCTGACAGGCTGCTCGGCGGCTTCCCCTGTTCCCAGCCCCATATAAGGGCACCAAGAGCTGTCTCTGGAGCCTCTTCTTGCAGCGCAGACATCCCAGCTGAGCGCCTGGCCTCCGGTGGGAAAAACAATTGTGCATCAACAAGGCTGAATTTGGGTCGAGGTTGCTTTTTCTTCAGCCTGAGCGGGAAGCTGAGCACCTGAGGCGAGCTTATCGGGCCACATCCCTCCTCTTCATTGCGTTTCTTCCCCCTGCTGTGCTGCAGCCTGCCTCCCCACTCTTCTCTGTCACCTCTGGTCTTTCACAGCTTGGGTCTTCGCTAGTCAAGGAGTTGGCTTGTACTGTTGCTTAACATATCCAGCAGAACATACTGCCTTAGTGATGTCCTGCCTTTCCAGGCACTGAGCTGAGTTTTGTGAATGCTTGGTGGCAATGGCTTGTCCGGTGTCCTTCCCAGGCCACCAGCAAGAGGTCTTCTGCTCTATAGGGAGAGGCAAGCGTTAGGAACACTTCTGTGTCGCTGAGGCTCCTGACACTCAGGGACTTGCCCATCATCAGTCCAGTCTCTGCCAGCTCCTCTGCACATCTCTGACAGACCGCGGGGCCCCTGAGCTCCTGGGCAGCACTGGACCTCGATTCTGTGCCCTCCTGATGCCCTCGTCTTTCCCCTTGCAGGCAATTTGGGAACTTGACCAGAAGGATTGCAGCTTGTTATTCACAGAGGGGCTTTACAGCCCCTGGTGCCAATGTTGGCAACTGCTGCCTGCAGCTGTTTCCCAGGGGATCTGGTGCTGGCAGCCGAGGTGCCTGCAGCCTGTTGGTGGTTGGCTCCGCCGTCCTTCGTCTCAAGGCCAGGTGCGGGTGCTTCTGGTGTCCCAGGCCTTCCACGCCGATGTGCAGGAGGCTGCAGAAGGGGCTGTGCTGTGGACACTGCTGTCTGGTGTTTAGGGAAGATGTGAAGGGTTTCATCGACCCAGACCTGCCTAAGACCTGATCTAACAAGAGATCTCCCTCTGGAGGTCCCTTCCACCCCATGTTATTCTGTGACAGCAGAGTAACACTTGCCTTCCAGGGATCTGTGCAGCCATAACTGGCAGGGCACACAGAAGTGTGTTGCCTGGAGTGCTGTGGTCTCTGCTGAGCGTGCTGTATGCGGTTTGTTCAGACCTGTTTCTGTATTAGTCACTTTGAATTCATCCAAGTGCCTAACCTGGCCTATGCTGTTCCTGGGCACCATGACAGCCAAGAGCTTTGGAGACTCTTAGGGATGCTTTTACCGCATGGATTTGTGCCACTGTCACTTCTAGAAATGATTCAGCCAGCTGTCATAGGGCTGATCTTCCGCCTGATTTTGTGGAAATCATTCCTCCCTTTATTCAGCTGCCAAGAAGCAAGAGTTTATGCTTCGCCTCCACCAGTCAAGGTCCTAGAGTTTCCTGTGTGCTTCACATGTCCGTCAGCGAGGTCCGTGGGGAGAGCAGCTTGTCCTGCAGGCAGCTGAAGGGGAAGCTGACATCAGATACCAGTTGAAACCACATTGTTAATTGGTAGAAATGTTTTGAATCTCATGTCCACTGTGATCAGATTTCACCTTCTGCCACTACTTTCAGTTGGAGAAGTTTCTCCTTGGCCTCATCCCTGCAAATCATGTAGCGCGGTGCTTCCAAACTCTTTGCCTCCCCCCCCCCCCCCGGCCCCGCGTTTTTGTGCCCCCCCCCCCCCCCCGAGCCAGCTGCCATAGCGATCCTTGTACAGAATTTCTTAAGCACTTTTCTGCAAAATAAGAAGGGATTATTTTGTTACTCCTGTTTTGTAGCCCACTAGTGGTATTTCAGTGTGAGGAGGAGGTGTGCTCTGTGGAGCGTTGTGAGTACTTGCATAGCTGGATACTTGTGACTTGTGCTGTGTTCATGGCCAGACCTTGCCAGCATGTTGGGGGCTGCAGCCACTCCAGCGGCTCTCCCCTCCTTGGGTCCAAGCTCCCTGCCCTGTCTGGGAGCTGGGCCTTTGGCCACAGCACACGTGACATGTGGGGATGGTGAGCAGGTTTGTCTCGGCTGCAGCTGGACAGCTTCCTGGGCAGGTTTAGGTGGGAGGATCCTTATTTCGGTTGTGGTTGGCAGGGTCGGTGCCGAGCTGTGTGGAGCCCCTGCCGCTCAGGCAGCTGGGTTGGTTCATGTGGAAGTGACAGTTTCTGTTTCGGTCTTCAAAATGGCACTGGCCCGTTTGCTCCTGTGGTCAGATGGGGATGGCTTTCTGAGAGGTGAGGTGGCCTGAGGGGAGGAACAGCTGTTCTGGGGCACCTCACACCTTCTCGACGGTGCTGCAGCCCTTGGCTTTGCGAGCTGGGTGGGCTGGCACCATCCATGGAGAGGGGCAGCAGGGCAGGTTGCTCCCAGGCCCTTGCATTCAGGGCTCTGTGCTGGAGAGCACCATGCTCGGGTTTCCCTCTCCTCGCAGCCTGCTCCTGCCTGGAGCTGTGTGCCATTAGGAGAGTGCCAGGTGCCTCGCTGGCTGGTGGAGCAGAGACCTTGTCCCAGAAGGCAGGAGAGACAGTCCCGAGTGTCGCGTGAACCCTGTCTGTAGATGTGACTCTGCTAGCGCTCGCAGCTTGGCCAGCTGCTGTCTCCAAAGCCGTGGTGCTGAGGCCAGACCTCTCAGTTTGCT